GCTGAGGGGAGCAGCAGGCAGGTCAGGAGAGGTCTGCCATGCCATGTGGTCACCTCTGGGCAGGCGGGGATCGAACTCATGTGGAAGTGGCTTTAGCTTCTCAGTGCTGTGCTTTAACCCTCTGTACCACCAGGAGGGTCGAAGTAGTTTGAAATTATAAGCTGAAATGACTTCAACATATTTTTCATACTGTTATGTTAAAATCCACTAATCTATTTTATATGCTAAATGGATCTTTTGCCTATGCATGATTTTATAATATCAACATTGGAAAATATTGGTTCACTGTGTTATGCAGACTTTCCAAATGTTGACATATTTGATTATTCAGTATAAAAATCACATTAGTTAATATCATCAATTTTATTAGAAAACCCTATAAATATTGGGAAGATGGCAAGCTCACAGCACAGGATGCTGATCCATAAATGAAAAGGAAAATATTTTGTTTAACATACCTATCAATTGCTCAAGTGTTTCTACACAATACAGCCATCGTATTTCAGTATGTAGGACTATTATATGTATGTGTACTACTTCAGAATGTAAAGTATGAAACAGGAGTGTACTGAAGGATCAAGACTTATAATAAAATTTATAATTGTTATCTCTTTATCAAGGACAATTTCAATGAAAACTGGCATTTATTGCAACTATAAATTCCTGAGTAAATATTACAATGATTAGTATTACAATTTGGTGTTACTGCCTTTATTTACACTAAGACACTTCCTTCTTAACTCAATGATTTTTGGAACTTAGCTCAAATTTCAACACATTTGAGCTTCAGAAATTGAGATTTTCTAATGGGTTCCCAGACCACATCCTCAAAGGTCTGCTAGTCTAACTAATATCAATTTTGTCCCCTGCAAGAACTAGAAAAGCTGCGTAAATTATATAAATCAACTATTTAAAGCATTAGAGACATATCAGGATGGCCCAGACTTGTAGGGTCAAAATACCAGAAAGAAGGAAAGTGCTGAGAAGTGTGTCTACGGCATTTCAAGTCATGACATTTACTGACTTGCCAGCTGTGGTGGAGAGGCAAAGAACAAGAAGCTGAAAAACTTAGCAGAACTACCAACAGATTCAGTGCTATGAATATAAAATTTGGAGGTCAGAATCCCCCAAAAGGAAGGTTCTGAT